CGCTTAACCAACTAGCCACCCAGGCGCCCCAGGGATATTCATTCCTATTTGATTTGTCTTTCTTTTCTCCCACACCTATTCTAGTCCTGAGCTCATACCTGGGTGAGCACTCTACAGCTCTCCTTTGTAGGAAGCAGGCAGCTCTGGGAGAACGCTGCTTCACCAGTGGAGGCCCAACAAGGCAAGGGTTTTGTTCACATAAACACCCCCAAATAGCTAGGGGATTCACAGCCCAGAGGCAGAGAAGCCCCGCCACTCCTGAGGAGCTCACCATTCCTAAGGAACTTGCCTCCACAGGATTCTTCTGGTTTTTTCCAACAGTGCCAAGAAGTCCCTCCTGGACTGTCCATCATGTCACCTCTGTAGACCTCTGCACCTCCCATCACTTGTGCAGTGATCCTCTGTGCCTATTCCCTGGGGCAAGTGGAGCTTGCAGTTGAGGTGCCCTAAACAGAGCCTGGGAGATCTAAGGCACCTGGGCCAAAGACTCTTTAACAAGGACAAGAAGGCACTTTGATAGTGGGGGTGAGGGAACCTCACATAGCCTGAGGCACTGGCCTGGCCCACCAAAGATGGAGAAACACAGGGTCTTCTTGGTAAGACCCCTCCCCTCCCCCAGACACACTCAGACACTTGCACAGTACCCTCATGGCAGCCTGAGCAATACACTCAGTCCAGTGGGCTACTGCTGGGGCAGAGAGCAGAGCCAGGCCACAGCAGAAAGCTGAGGTGCCTCAGGACCTTGCTAGTTGGTTATTAACGGTGGGAGGTGGAGGGAGGGCAAGAGAGACCCTCCTGGCTGGAGGCCTCAGCCCTCTGAACCATCCCGCAGTTTCACTTAATCTGCATTTAAAGAGGGTTCCAGGAGGCTGCTGCAACAGCCTAGCTCTCGTCCTGGGCCTGTCACCAAACAGACACTCAGGCGTCCTCTACGTAGCTTTTAGGTCATCTCCTCCTCTGCTCTCAATTACTAGTGTGTTTGTGGGGAGCACCCTCTCTCCTGAAGGGCCTTTGCCTTCTTCCCCATCCCTCTCTCCTGCCTATCTTCCCCCAGCAACCAGGCTCAAGTAATGTGGTTGCACAAAAGAGTTGGGTGATCCCCATTTGGGGGACAAAAGGGAAGGAGAGACTAGTAAAGGTAGGAGACCACTGACATCAGAGCCCGTTAAAGTCAGCCCCGAGGCCAGGGACGTGTCCAGACGATGGTGGGGCCACAGGAGGGGACTTCTCCCAGCAAAACCTCTGGAACCTGAGCTGGGAAGAAACCAGATCCGCTGATGGGGGTAGGAGGAAGGTGAATGATTAATGAGGGAGATTAAGAGATGAAACCTGGGTTCTGGGCTGGGGGTGGGGAGGGGGTTGTGGCGCTCAGCTGTCTCGTAGGCTTCCCCCACCCATACCTCCCACCCCACGGTCCAACCCTTCCTGTCCTGGGCCTCTCTCACAGAGTGATTCGTAGTTACGCACCTTCCCCCGCCCTCCGCCCCCCCTTCCTCCGGTGGTGGACGGTTTTCCTCTCTCAGCATTCTCAAGCGACCCCTCGTGGTCTCCCACCTCCTCGGATTCCCATCATTGTCCTTTCAGATATTTGGGGGTCCTCTGTTCCTCCCCGTTGTAGAGATCCCCACATTCCAACTTTCATTCCCTCAGGAAGGTGCCTCTATTGCTATTTAAGGACGCTTTCTCACACCTCTGTTCATCACCCACTTTCAGATTTCCCTTTCCTTGCGGCCCCCCACCTTCTCCCTCATTCCCTGACACTGCACCTCTCAACCACCTTGCCCACCTCAGCCTCCCATCTGGCGGGCTCCCTGATCCAGGCCCACCCCAGACTGATGCCCCTCTTCTTGGCACTGAGATCTGCTCAATAAACAACCTTTAGCCTCCAAGTTTCCCTCGCCGCGCATTCCTTTGAATTCTGTGAATGTAAAGGGGCAACTGGGGATCCTCTGAATAACCACCTCAGGGAGGCGGACAGATACAGCTAGACAGAGAGAGGAGCTTGGCCGCCCCTCCCGACCCTCAGGGAAGTCCGTTAGCCAGAGAGAAGGAAGTAGGAGTTAAGGGAGGAAACTCCAGGCAGCTGGGCGTGGGGCGGGGCGGGGCGGCCGTCCATCTCGCACACTTCCGAGGTTTTCTCTTTTAGAAAACGTTGCTGCGGAATGAATCGACTCAGACACTTAACATTTTAGTTTCGTTTCTTCTAGGGCCTCGCTCAGTCCATGATCCCGTGGCAGCCCTTTATGCTGGGTCACAAAAAGCGTGGTGGTTGTGTGCACCGGGGGAGCGGTGGGATACTCAGACCCCCGTCCTCGGCTGACACACACACACACACACACACGCGCGCGCGCGCGCCACCGCCGCGCCCCCCACTCCCCGCAGACCCACTGCTCCACTACCAGCGAAGTCCCTTTTCCATCCTTTTCCGCCCACCCCTGGCACTGAGAGACTGGCCAGGCTGAGAGGGACCGGTTCTCCCCTGTGCCAAAGGCGGGGGCAATCTCGGTGCCCCCTCCCCCCAGGTGACTGTGACCCACTGAAACGGCTAGATGAGAAAGGGCGACAGGGGCAAGGGCCAGCTTGACCCTGAGGGTGAGGACTGACGCCTCCACCCAGAAGCGCCCCGAGGTCAAGGGCGCCGCCCAGAGGGCCCACTGTCCGCCCGGAAGGCTCCGCGGCAACCTCTTTGAACGCGACCAGCGCATTCTGGGTCACACAGCTCAAGAGAACCCTGGGCTTGATTCTCCCCGTGGCGCAGATCGTAACCAGAGTCACCCTGGGGGACTGGGTCTTCCCAGCAAAAGCCAGGCAAGGGGGCAATAGACCCATCGAGAGAGGAAGAGCAGAACTCAGCCCTCAGCCCGCAGCTGGCCTGCATCAGCCACCTTGGGAGACACACCGCAGCTGCCTCTGCGAGGGCCGCTGATGGACAAAAAGAAGGTTCTGCGGAACTGGGGGCGAGGGGAGGTGGCCCGCTGCACCCCAGGTCCCCGCCTGAGCTCCTTCCGCTGCTCCTTGGCCTCAAGCCATGCCATGCACCATTAAAAGCCTCATCCTGAGGCCTGGTCCCCAGTCAGCCTTATCTTCTGACTGGGCCTTCTTGATGCCAAGCTGCTGCCAAGCCCCAGACTGCTCCCCAATTCCTGCAGCTGCTGGGGACCCAAAAAATCCTCAGGAGCATTTCTACTCTCTTTTCCCCTCAGCCCACACCTCTCCCTCGGGGGGGTCATTCCTTAAAAATGCCCTTTCACCCACAAACCCCTTGAGAACAGCCTCAGTGTGGCATGCTTGAGTGGGCTGTGGAGTCCCAGAAGACATGGGGGGAGCCCAATTAATAGAGATGTAATTCATCCCAAACCTCAAGATATATGCTGGTGTAGAGGCAGGCACAAAGGGGTGGAAAAAGCCTGGGTTCTGGCAGAGAGAGGGTCTCCTGGAGGAAGTGATACTTGGGCCTTGAAAGAACAGCTGAGTATGGGGTGAGGGAGAGGCATTCCAGGCATGAGGCCGGAAACATGGGACGCTTTGGGAATCAAGGAGATTCTGTCAGGCTGATTGTTCTGCTATGTCCCCACCCTGGTCCTCACTGTCCGCCCATCACACCCGAGGGCTCTTCCTTGCTTTCTGCAGTCTCTCCACACTGTGCTTTTCTCTACAAGCTTCATCTGGAGGGAAGGCCAGGTCTACTGTGCACTGGCCACTATGCTCAGGCCCCTCACACTGTGCCCACTTCCACCCCCGGCCGCCCTAGTCTCAGGCTCTCTTAGCCAGTTCACACCATTTTCACTGTACTCCTCCCCTAGGTCTTCTGCCACCCCGTCTCTATCCCTGGAAGCTTCAGGCCTTCAGCCCTCACCAGCAATGCACAATGAACCCTCTGAATTCACTGGAGTCAGACTTAGGCCCGTTGAAGAGTTGGGCTTTAAGCTTGAGTTCTGGCAACGTTTCTGCCGCCTGCTCCCTCCCACTCGTCCCAGGTTCAGCCACAGCCCATTAGCTCCCTTCAGGACCTCGCTGCTTCCTCCTCCATCTGTCATTGTCCCAGTTCAGGCAAGTTTCTGACTATCCTACTGAGAGGCCACAGAACAGGGAGCCTGGCTGAGTGTACTTTCAGAGCCCAAGGCTCATGGCTGGGCTCATACAGACAAGGAATGTTCACTGAATTAATCAAGGGAATTAATAGACTTGCTGCTTCCCTCTTGTTACCTGAAGCTGCCTTTGCTCTCCTGGACACCAGTTCCCTCTCTTCACCCTGGCTTCACCTAATCCAGGGACCTGAAGGCCTACTGAATCTTGTATGGACAACCATGTCTCCAACTCAACCCCCTTGTGTTCCCTGTGTCTTAGCCCCCTATGTTTTTTTGTTTTGTTTTTTTTTTTAAGATTCCTCCTATAGGGCAATTCTTTGGAACTTTCTTTAAAATATCACTCTTCTTCAGTCCTGCAGTGGCCACTGTCTAACCCTAGCCCTACCGTCACTGCTCCTTAATTAGGACACCTCCACTCAAGCCTGCAGCATACGCTACAACATTCAAGTATAGTGAGAACTCCCCTCCAGAAAGCCTTCCCTTCACCAAAAAGAAAGAAAGAAAGAAAGAAAGAAAGAAAGAAAGAAAGAAAGAAAGAAAGAAAGAAGAAAGAAAAGAAAGAAAGAAAAAAAGAAAGAAAGAAAAAAAGACAGAGAAAGAAACAAAGAAAGAAAGAAAAAGAAAGAAAAAGAAAGAGAAAAAGAAAGAAAAAGAAAGAAAGAAAGAAGAAAGAAAGAAGAAAGAAAGGAAAAAGAAGAAGCTGATATGGGTAACCTGGTTCCACTTAGCTCACCTTCTGAGTTCTATATGTGTAGGGTCCTCTACCCCTCTCCTTTGGCAATTCACTGAGGGACCACGGACATAGAGAGGCCCTCCTTCATGATGAAACTCAGAGGATTTCTGAGGGAAGCAGAACACAGAACAAAGCATGAGTATGTGGAAAGAAGAAAGGAAGAAAACAGATGCTTTTTTAAAGTTTTTATTTCAAAAAATAAAGCCGCAGTTAATTTCACATAAATATCTGGGGAGGGAAGGGGACAGGGATGTGGCGGGGGCTTGGCCCCTACCTCCTCTTCTCTTTCACACTGTATTGTAAAAGCAAAGGGGATGGCTAAGGAGAGAACAAGGAGAAGAAGCAGTCAGTGGGCGCGTTCTTACCCCAAATGCCCCCCCAGCCCATTGTTGCCCTGGGGACTGCCTTGGCTCTCTGGCTTACCTTGCCGAACCAGCGGGAGAGCCATATCTGCTTCATGGTCATGTGATCTGGGAGAACTTCATTGTCGAAAAGGAGCTGTACCTAGGAGGGAGATGGGGGCACAGCTTCAGGAACCGCTCTCACGTACGTCAAGAACTACCTTGGTCTACTACAGACTCTGTCCCTCCCTTCCCCAAAACCCTACTGCAGGAATACTCACATGCTGGGGATTTAGCATTAAGCGGTGACACAGGACCCTCCGGAGGTGACGAACTTCAGCTCTAACAGAACATCGGACATATTTGTTCTGGGGATAGGGATGGAAGGCAAAAGGACAACGCGTGTGAGGGAAGGGCCACAGGGAGGTGAGTCTCCTTAGAGAGGCCCTCCCCTCAGCCCCTCTCACCTGCAGGATGCTTTTATTCTTGTCTTTGCCAGAACTGGGGGAAACAGACACAAGTTAGGGAGTCTGATCTTTCCCTGTCCCCCACCCAGAGCTACAGTATACTCTCTTCAAGGGAGTAGACACTCCCTCACTGCTTGCCCTCTCACCAAGCCCCTCCCCGGTTCTGAGTCACTTGCACTGTTACTTCAGACAGTTCACGACCCGTTCCTTACCTCAGCCGTTCCAGGCACAGGCTCAGCTGCTCATCATAGCGATAGTAGTGGGCTTTCGAGTGGTCGAAGCTGCTGAAAGGGAGGCCGAGGTTGCTCAGGGCTGGCTCTAAGAAAGAGTAGTGAGGAGAGTGGCACAGATTCCATAGTCCTTTTTCCCCGGAGAGCAAAACTGGGCAAGAGGGATGTTCTGGGGGCTTTATCTTACCCTCCTGCTGCCAAGGGACATACCTTCCCCACTGGGTTGGGTAACCCGGTCCAAGCCTCGGGACTGGTAGAATTCTCGAATCCGTTTCTCTTCACCTAGAAGGGAGGGGAGTGTGGGAAATAATTACCCCTCCCTCATACTTTGTCCCCGTGACTGTCAACTTCTTTACCTATGTGATTCCCATGAAAGCCCTTGTCATCTCAAGTCACCACCCAGCATCAGCCCTCTAGAGGCCCCTCTAGTGGGTTGGTCACTCACTGTCTTGTAAGCCAGGCACTAGCTTGTACACGATGTCCTGCATGACCCGGTCCAGTTTGAGGTTGAGCAGTGGCTGTGTCTCGTGGATCTTGATGTTGCACATGGGGCAGTACTTACTGGTTTGGAGGTACTTCACAATACAACTCTTGCAGACTGCAGGAAGAAAAAAGCAGACTCTCAGGCCCTCTGGGAATCGGGTTCATGGGCTGGGTGGGGTGCCTGGGTGGCTGGGGCAGGCAGCCAGCAGTCTGGCAACCAGCTTGGTGGGGACTAGGGCCTGGAAGAACCAGCCAGGGTCCAGGGTACTCACAAGTATGAAGACACTCTGTGATGGTGGTAGCATCCACGAAGTAGCCAGCGCACAGGCAGCAGACGATGTGCTCATTCAGGTCTTTGATCTTTACTCGGACCTCCTCCTGCGGACCCACTCTCCGTCACCGATCACCCCCTCCAGCCCCAAATCACACGCCTTCCCAGCTGGGGTGATACCTTTCAACAAACCCCACGGCCAAGTCTCGCACCTTGCGCGGTCCTCAGGGGATTAGCTCGCGGGAGCTGACACTCCCCCTCCGCCCAGCAGGGGGCTCCGCGCACAGCGGGGGCTCCCTTCACGTGGACTCGCCCGACCTTCCTTTCCCAGGGGAGACTACACGACGTGGGCGGCACAATGCGCAAGCGTCCTAGCTCGGAGTTTGGCAACCCGACCGCAATCGCGCAGGCGCATTGGGCACCCTGTCTCTGCGCAGGCGCACTGGGCGCCGGGCCAGCCACCGCCCGTCCTCTAGCCGGCCCCAGTTCGCACCGCTAGCCGACCACAGCAGTAACCCTGCCGCCCCTGCACCTCGTTCCGTAGTGGGTCCATCTTGTACACTGACTGGAGCTGGTTCCGAAGCCTCATCGCGATCGCAATCTGGCCCCCCTGAGGAGACGCCATCTTAAAGGCTGATCCCGGCCGGCCACTTCCGGTGCCGCCTGCGGGGCGGGACTTGTCGCCCAGCAACGAGGGCTTAGGTCTTTTCGGATTCGCTGACCCTCTGTAAGGCCCCGCCCATGTCCCTTTCTCCCCGTGTGCTCACCTGAGCCCCACTGGCCCCTCCCCCTCCTCAATCCGTAATTAGGGAGGGGGGGTTGTGAGGCGGGGGTCCTATCTCATTGACCTCTTGTAGTAATCATCACGATAGACCCTACCCAACCGCGGGACTAACTTTTGGAGCCTGCAAAAGACTGCTCCCTTCTACCCCAAAGGGCCCAGCGGTCTCCGCCCGCCGCTGCTCAGGGTCGTCGATCTCCTGTGACCACGACCCCGCTAAAGAAGCCCCTCCCGGGTCCTTTCCTCGTAATGTCGCTCTCGTCGGCTGACGCGTCCGCGTTACGGAGCTTCATCCGGATGGCAGGCCTCCTCCCGGCTCCACGGCGGGAGTTTCTCCGGGCTTTGCGGAGTCTCGGAGAGGGTGGCGGGTGGGGGGGAGGGACCCCCAGGGACTTGGTGTAGTGATCTTATTCGCCCCCCCCATCCTCCCCTGCCGCCGGGGCTTGTGGAGGGCGGGGGGCAGACCCTGGTTAATGATGATGATTCAATCATCGGCGCCTGCGGAGGCCTGGGACAGACTAATGCAGAGCAGATGCCGAAGGAGGAGGGGAGGAGGATTGGGACACTACCGCACATAGACGCGCCGAAGCAGCCAGCGCCCGCAGTAGCATAGGCCCAGCTCCGTACTTGGGAAGGTCTCAGGAGCTCTAGACCTTGTACACCGCCATCCCTAGGTACTTCCAGGGGAATTAAAAACCAAGGATAAGTTTACTGTGAGGTATTAACATCAAGTGTAGTTGGAGACTCAAGGGAGAGACCCCAGTGGAGGCCACCAAAGGCTTTCTGGAAGAAGTGGGACTTTGTGTGGGCACAATTTAGAGAATGGGCGTGGGGTACGTGGATAAGAAGTATGGTGGAAATAGAAAAGAAAGGCAGAGTGGAGGCGAGTGACCAGAGAGATGGACAGGAAAAAGAGCAAGGTGTGGATTTGAGAGTAGTGATAGAAGCAGGGCCTCAGGGAGCTGGGACTTTAGCCTGAGGGCAATAGGGAGCTAGCAGAGTTTTTTTTTTAAGGGAGGGACTTACCCTATGAAAGAAACATTTTTGCTAATTTATCTTTGAATAATTGGAGTGGATAAGCAGCAAGAAGTTATGAGATTAGTGATGTTTAAATCAACCCCTTCTCACTACAGCCACTGCTTACCTCCCTGGCCCAAGGTACCATCATCGGTCCTCTGGATGACTGACTGCAGTGGCTTCTGGCCTGTTTTCCTTGTTTCCACGTTTCCATATGAATAAAAAAGGATATAAGGAAAGTTTTTTGAGTTGATGGATGTGTTTATTATCTTGATTGTGATGGCTTCGCGTGTGTACACATACACTTTTATACACTTTAAATATGTACATTTATTGTATGTTAGTTTTATCCTAAGAAACCTATTAAAAACAAAAATTTTAAATCAGGCTTCTTTTCCTTCCAATAGCCTCCCTTTTCAGAATAAAAGCCTAAGCCCTTCTAATGCTTCAAGGCCTTGCATGGTCTCTCCACCCTTACTGTTTGTTCCGCAGATAACACCAAGATGTACTTGCATTATCAAATGCTCAGATATCCAAATGACTCCTTTCTTCCTCCAGGTCTTTACTCTGTGAGGGCTTCTGTGATCACATTAGATAAATCACAACCCCATCCTTTCACTTCTCCCCTTCCCTTTCTTTCCTTTTTTTTCCTTCTTAGCATTCTCATTATTTAATATATATATTGTCTTGTGTTTTACCTGCCTTCCCCACTAGAATATAAACTTTGTATGGCAGGGATTTTTCCCCCCTCTGTTGTGTCTGCAGCTCTATCTCCAGTGCCTGGTGCATGGTGGGTATTCAATGAAAATTTTCTGGATGAACAAATGAATAAATGTAGATGGTGGTGATGATGGCCTAGATTAGATTTTATCAGTGGGAATAGAAAAAAAGGGCTGTATCTGAGACATTTCAAAGGGAAGCATAGGAGGGCGCCTGGGTGGCTCAGTTGGTTGAGCGACTGCCTTCGGCTCAGGTCATGATCCTGGAGTCCCGGGATCGAGTCCCGCATCGGGCTCCCTGCTCAGCAGGGAGTCTGCTTCTCCCTCTGACCCTCTTCCCTCTCGTGCTCTCTGTCTCTCATTCTCTCTCTCAAATAAAAAAAAAAAAAAAAAAGGGAAGCATAGGAGGGAGTGAATGAGGAGCTTGGGAGGGGAGCACATCCTCCAGCCTGCCTGACTTCAAGGTGGCTACAGCAAAGGAGGGTCGAGCTGGCCAGAAGTTTAGGACAGAGGGGCTGGAACACAGCAAGTGTCAGAGCCTAGGATAGAGGTCCAGAGATTCCTGAGTGGATATAATAGATGGGACTACTAGAATGAGTGAAACCTTGAGTAGATATAGAAAGAGGGAAAGCCGAAGTCTGAGCTCTGAGAATGCTCAGTCTTCAGTGGAAAAAGCAAAGTCGGTGGCAAAAAAACATAAGCATTGACTATGAAAGCCTGAGATGTAGAATAAGACGATATTACAGAAACCAAACGGGATATTTCAAGAAATAGTTGGTAATCGACAGAGCAAAATATGTCAGAGAAATCCTCAATAATAGACCCTGGAGCTCTTTGAAAAAAGAGTGTGATGAAGCCAGGTTGTAGTGGGTTAAAAGAATAAATGATGAGGGGCGCCTGGCTGGCTCAGTCAGTAGAGCCTGCTACTCTTAATCTCGGGGTTGTGAGTTTGAGCCCCGTGTTGGGTGTAGATACTACTTTAAAATTAAAATTAAAAGAATAAACGATGAGGAAGTAGAGGTGGTGGTTGTGCAGAGTACAAGGGAAAGGAAAAATATAATCTCTCTTGAAGAGTCAGGCAAAGATTTTTGTCCAGGTAAAAGAGACCTAAGACAGTTGGGGGTAGGAAGGACTAAGCTAATGAGAGAAATGATGATACAGGAGTGGGGACCATCTTGTGGGAGAGACAGTGCACAAAAAGCAGGAAGGAAGGGACGGCACCAGAGCACAGGCTGGGAACGTGCTTCTTCCTGTGAAGCTGCCAGCTTGAAGGCCTGAAAACTTGAAGGGTTGGGGACCACATGCACGTAGGCTATGGTGAGACAGATGCAAAGGAGTGTGTATGGGAGGTTGGGGTTCTGACCCCAGGGCCTCCATCTTAGATATAAACTAGCAGAAACCACCTTTTCCAGGGAATCAGGGTATCAGAGAGGTGGAGACAAGCGGAAGAATCCCTAGGACTCTGGCTGACAGAATCGGATACCCTTTGTTCTTGAAGTAGGGCACTCATTTCTTTTTTGGTAATTCCCCAGATGTGTATACATTACTGGGTTTGTGACCATTCTCCTCCAAGGATCAGTTGGGCAATCTCTGGGTGGTAGTGCCATCTGTGCTGACCTCAAAAGGCCAGATGAACAGTCAGCAGGTATACAGGTCTTCCTCCCTCACTGATTCATTCAAGAAGGATTTATTCAGCCTGATTGGAGACACACTAGTGCCCACACTTTCCTCAGAGGCCCACCCACTAGAGTGGGGAAAAGGACTGACAGATTCCTAACCTGTAGGCCAGTCCCCTTCAGGGTCTTTATTTACTTTGCTGTGTCCCTAGGCTCTCTGTTCTCATTCAGGGGATCCAGCTCAAGCGGTCTCTGAAGGTTTTCCCTGAACAGCAGAAGTTTCATGCCCCTAGTAGCCCCACCTCTCTACTGCTGAGAAAGGGTGCTTGGGCTTCTGTGAGGGGCTAGGGGAGGTGATAATGTCTGTCTGTCTGTCCCACCAACCCACCAAGATAACACAGCTGCCAAACAGGCAGGAGCCCCCCTGCTCCCCTTTCAGAAGGGGCTATTGGCAGGGTGGGAAAGGGCTGGAGAAATTGGATAGTGGAAGTGGACAAGAATTTGGGGGAGGATGTCACATATTATTATGCCAACTGCCTCCCTCCTCCATGGTTCACCCCCCTTCAGACTGAGGTTTCTGAGAACACTGAGGGAGGGCCTGGTGGCTTTAGTGGGGAGAGTCCATTCCCTCCGTTCTTTATCTTTCCTGCCCAGATGCCCAAATATCGTTCCCAGTTCCCTGGAGAGAAAAGACCCCTCACCCTGCCTCTGGTGCAGGGCTGCAGCCCATCTGCTGGGGAGAAAGGAGGGGCAGTCTTTCCCAGGAGATCCTGGAGAACCAAGTGGAAGATCCGTGCTCCCAGGGAGACCCATCTACGAGCCTTGGAAGGCATTTCGGCTTACGCGGGTAACAGGCAGACTGGGGCTGAGCACCAGAGTGGCCTGGGGTCTAGGGGCTAGGGCTGACACAGCAGGGTGGGGTCCTTTGGCTACCACGTGTCCAAGGCAGGCCGAGCGGCTCATCCGTGCCCACCCGCCTCGGAATGGTAGCAACACCCCCCCTCCCTGCGCCCAGTCTCACCGGCTCGGAGGCGCCAGGGCCCCCCCGGGGCCGGGGCGGGCCGGGGAAGGTAATGTAATTCCGACCCAGCTAACCCGATTATGGCGGCCTGCACCGGGCCGGGCGGCGGCGGGGGCGGGTCTAAGGCGCAGGGGCCCGCCGGGCCCGGGTCCCATCCCGGGAAGGACGCAGAGTTCACACACTCCCAGCTCCTGGGTCCCCGGCCAGAGGTCACAAGGTCACCGAGCGCCTTCAGTCTTTCCCCACCTCCCATCCGTGACACACTCCAGGCACAGTTTCTGGGGTTGGGTGGGGTGAAGCGTCTGTGGGAAATGAGGCGGCTGAGACCGCCGAAGGCTTCAGTGAGGATCCACGTGTCGCCTGTGGCGATTTTGTCCTCTCGCCTTTGAGGGGGGAAGTGTGTGAGAATTGACTTCCTAGGCGCAGAGTGGAGGGGCAGAGTCCCGCGTTGGTGGTCCCCTGTGGGGGGCGGAACGCCAGCCCCAAGCTCTCATCCGCCTGACTTAGCTCGAGTTGAGCCAAGGGTCCGCTTTACACCGATTTCAGAAAATCGAAATGCTAAGAAACACAGGACATCAATTACTGGCGTTCCGGGAAGGAGGTAGGGGCCCTATGGCAGAGGCCAGGAGGTGCACCAGGATCGCTGGCCCAGAGGGGTTGCTCCCCGCCCTAGCCCACCAGACGCGCCCAGCCACCCCCTTCCCACACCTGTCCTCTTCCCGGGCCTCCAACTCGCCGGCGCCGTTCCCAACCGCTTCCCATCGCAGCCAGGAAGCCACAACGAGATTTGGTCTTCGAGGGCACTTAGGCGGGGGCCACAACGAATCTGGGAGTCGGCAGGCAGGACCCATCGCGAGGCGAAAAGTGGGGGCTGTGGGAGGAGGCACCTGCGAGGAAGCCGATGAGGCCGAGGAAGCCCAAAGGCGGAGGCCGGCGAGGATGGAGTTGCTGTGCGCATCTCGCCTGACTCAGCGCGCAGCGGCCCATGCTCTGGCCCCTCCCGTGCTGAGCCTGGTTCCTAACACCCTTGCCACCTCCCCCCCCCCGCCCCCTTATCCCCACCAACCCCGCCCGCCAGTCGTCCGGGCGTTTGGCGCAAACAGGCGTCTCTTTCCCTTTAACGGGTACGGCCCCGCCCCTGCCCTACCCCCAGCCCCCACTACCCACCCAATGCTGATCTGTCAGTCACTGCCCCATCCCCAGCCAGCCAACCCTCTCCACCCCGGACTCGGGCAGAGGCCCCGGCAGCCCAGCGTCCATCTGCGCCTCAGGGACAGCAAGGGCGCTCCTGGGGCCCCCGCCGGTCGCGCTCCCCCGGGATGCGAGTCCCTGCGCCGACGCCCGGCAGAGGCCGGCACGGGCGCGGCTACTCCCCGTGCACAGGGATGAAGCTGTCCCGGGGGCCCCGGCGACCCGCAGCGGCCAGCCCCGCGGGCCCCTGAGGCCGCCGCCCCGAACCCTCCGCTACTGGGCTCCCAGAGTTGCCTGGGGCGCCCTCCCCAACCGCCAAACCTCCTGTGGTCCTCCTTGACCCGGACCCATGGAGCCGGCGGTCCTGGCCTCGCACAACCTCCCTCACCACGAGCCAATCAGCTTTGGCATCGATCAGATTCTGAGCTGCCCGGAACCCCCCGGGAGCGGCCTAGGCCCCGGTCGCTCAGGCCAGGGCCATGGGGAGAGTGCGGCGTTCTCGGGTGGATTTCACGGAACCTCAAGCTACGGTCCCGCGGGTTCGCTGGCCCCGCTACCTGGCAGCTCCGGCATGGGCCCAGGCGGCGTGATCCGCGTCCCGGCGCATCGTCCAATGCCAGTGCCGCCGCCCGCGGGAGGCGCGCCGGCAGTGCCTGGACCCTCTGGCTTGGGCGGAGCCGGGGGCCTAGCGGGACTCACCTTCCCTTGGATGGACAGCGGCCGCCGCTTTGCCAAGGACCGGCTCACGGGTGAGATTGCCCGACCCTCCAGCGTCCAGCCCCACATTGACCCCTTTTCCTCATCTTTGATCCTTCTGCTCCAACTCAAGTTCCCCGTACGCTCCCCGCCCGGATCATCCCAGGGGATCCTCCCCCAACATGTATCTCTTGGTCCTGATGCTGAGAGAGGCAATGGGGAGGGAACTGCCGTCGATGTCCGCGCCCTCCTTTGCAGTCTACTGTCCACACTGCGGGTAGGGCAGGGTGAAGTTCCGGGGGCCGTCTCCTTCTCACCCCAGGGGGAAGGCCATTTCTTCCGAGGCCCTTTCTTGTCTGGAGGCCTTTGCTGGTGTGGGGCCAAGCTTGGGGGCACCTGGAAGGGCCGCCCTGAAAACCCTGCCCTGTTCCTTCTTCCTCCCCGTAGCTGCACTCTCGCCCTTCTCCGGGACGCGCCGCATAGGCCACCCCTACCAAAACCGGACCCCCCCGAAGCGGAAGAAGCCGCGCACGTCCTTCTCCCGCTCGCAGGTGCTGGAGCTGGAGCGGCGCTTCCTGCGCCAGAAGTACTTGGCCTCGGCCGAGAGGGCAGCGCTGGCCAAGGCCCTGCGCATGACCGACGCCCAGGTCAAGACTTGGTTCCAGAACCGGCGCACCAAGTGGCGGTGAGGCTTGGGGCGAGCGAGGGCTCGCGGGAGGCGTCAAGTGGCGGCGCGGCGCGGGGCGGGTGAAGAACCGCGGGCTCCGCGGGTGACCACGAGGCGCGGGGTGGGCGAGCGCCGGCCTCGCTGACCCCGCGTCTCCGCTCGCCTAGGCGCCAGACGGCGGAGGAGCGCGAGGCGGAGCGGCACCGCGCGGGCCGGCTGCTCCTGCACCTGCAGCAGGATGCCCTACCACGGCCTCTGCGGCCGCCGCTGCCCCCGGACCCGCTCTGCCTGCACAACTCGTCGCTCTTCGCGCTGCAGAACCTGCAGCCTTGGGCCGAGGACAACAAGGTGGCTTCCGTGTCCGGGCTCGCCTCGGTGGTGTGAGCGACGCCTGCCCGACCGGCCGAGTGCTCTTTCACGGACTGAGGCGCCGTGCGGAGCGCCGGACCCAGGGCCACAGAGCGCGCGACTGACCACCCCGTGGTGCCGTGGTTCCGTGGTAGCGGAGCTTGTGAGGAGGAGCTGGCTTTGAGGCTATCGTCGAGGGCTCCTCGGCCACCGCGGGCTCCTAGGCTAGCGTTTCGAGGTTGCGCCGCGCGTTTAGACGTGGCCTTTCCCGCCATTTCCCACTTAACTGAGGTTGCACGGCAGCTGGCACCCGAGGAGCCAAGAAGGCGGGACTTGCAGTATGGTAGCCAATGAGGTGAGGGGAGGGGGCGGGCTGGCCAATGGGAGCTGCTCTCCTGAGGACTTTGGATTCTTCGGAGGGTGGGTTGAAGCTGGGGTTCTGTACCCACAGAACAGGCTAAAGGTGGTGCTGGGATGGGGCGGCGGCAGCTCGCACTACTGGGTCTGTATCAAAGGTGCAAAGGAAGGAAGACACCAATGACAGCAGAATAATGGAAGAGGTGCTGCAGGGCAAGAGTCTGTGACAGGAACCAGAGGGTTATCCACAGTAGGCATCTCATTCTTCAACCGTAAAATAATCGCTAAGGATACCTTTCTGATTTTGAACCTCATGTTGTCATGTGTGTTCAACCTGCTGACTCCGTCCTCCTCCTTGAGCCTCACAACGCACCGGGGCGGCAGGCAAGATGATACTTACACACCCAATGAAACAGAAAATCCAGGAACACTAATCTGGCTCTGGTCTCCCATGGGGACAGAGAGAGGAAAGGGGGAAGCAGTGGATAAAATTAATGGGCCCCGTGGAGTTAGGGTGAGCAGATTTTGGCAAATAACTAGGAATATCCAAGAAGAATCAAAGGTAATTCCAGGGTTGGAGATGTAGAGGATTGGGAGATCAACGGTGTTGTGGATAATGAAGGGGAAACTGAAAGATTAGAGCAAGATAACTACAGGCAAAACTGAATGCTAGACCTAAAGAGAATACATTCTGGAAAAGTGCTTTTGGGGGAGGTTGGGTGACATCCACATAGAGGTGGAGATAGATGGAATGATGAGAACAGATAGACTCTCCAAGGGAAGACACTCTGAGGAGAGAAGCAGAGTTCTAAGGATTAAATCTTTCTTTCCACCAATTTCTACAAACATATTTACAATGTGAACGATGATGGAATATATCAAAATTAATAATTTAAAGGAAGAAAAGGGAAAGGAGTACCCAGCTGGGAAAAAAGGAAAGTGTGATGTCCCTGAAGTTGTTAGAAAAGCTTTAGCATGCTGGTAGGCCAGGGGCTGCTGGGAAGCTTGCTGGTGGAAAGTTGAGAGTTCGGAGATGGTTTCAATAGCCTTGAGGGGTAAGAAGGAGCTGGATCTAAGTTGTATGTGGAAAAAAGGGAAGATTTTGTCTGATTTCTTATAGCACTCTCATTCTTCCTTCCCTGTAGGTGAGAGCAAGATAAAGGGAAGTGAGCTTCAGGCAGGGTCAGAGACCAATTGTAGTCAAACTACACATTTTCTGGGTTGTAGGTCATTCATACCGCAAAGGCTTGACTACAGGTGGGAACCAGGCAAGAGGATATTGCTGGAGGAGTTGGATGATATTGTGTCATCTCTAATTCATGGATGTTGTATATGCTGCTGCAGAATCAAACTCAAATTTGGCACCATAGAGAAAGAACTTTTATAGATCAAAGTGAAGCACACAAAGACAGGTTTGGCATAAACTGGGGGCTTGGGGGGCATATCAGTCGTTCTCCAATAAATAGAAGAAGGCTAAAGAAAGGGTCCAACCTTATGTATACTGTGGCTTACCCAATTTCCTCTATTCTCAGTCCACCATTTCTTGAGACTCAGGTTCCAGGATTTACATTTGATCCTAACCTTTGGCTGGCTACCTTGGTGCTAGCCTGAGAGAGGCCCTAATGCCTTCAGATGAGCTCAGTTCCATTCCTTAGGCAGGTCACTGCAGGACACAGGCATCTCCAAACTCTTGGGTAGAGGGAGATTCACTCTCTATTGAAGAATCTGCCATTTCTTCTCTCAGCTGATTCAAGAGGTCTCTGCTCTCACTGGGAGGCAAGTTACTCAAGAAGTATGGAGGGGCCAATTCTACCAGCCTGACAGAGAGAGTTACAGTTAGATGATTTCTGTATCCTCCCTTATAATGCAGATTCTTAGACTTCTTCCCATTCCTTCCACAAACCCTATCCCCTCAAATCATATGTCACTACAGACCACTAAGACACCCTCTTCTCCTTAAGAGGATATCCTCTAACTCCCCAGCCATAATTTTGGCCCCAAGAAGAGGAATGGGCAGTGTAAGAGGGGTGTCCGTGAACTCACATTTGTGGCTGAATCTCAGAAACAATGGAAAGGCAGTTGTCTTTGGAAATGGAGAAATTGTGGTAAAGCACCCATGGCGGGGGTCTGGCTGGAGACCTGCGGCTTCGGTAGCAGCAGTATGGGGAAAGCTGGGCCACATGCTTATGGGTCAGCAGCAGGTAATTTCCAGTCCCGTCTGTGTCTCGGGCCACCTCATTTAAAAGCAAAGATAGTGAAGGAGTAAGTGAGGGAGAAGAGGAAGGCAGTAGGAAAAAGAAAAGGAGGGGGGGCGGCTGAGAAAGAATTAGGAAGGGTGGTGAGAGTATTAAAAGTAGAGCATCATCTCTAGGTGTTAAGAGTCCCTACCCTATGGCATTTCCCATAGCCCCCTGCACCCCAATACCTCAAAGGAAAAGTTTCTCCTGGTTCTAAAAAATCCTTTGAATGGTCACCTGGACTCCAGTTTCAGAGATGGCATATCAATTTTTGGTCCCTCTGCTTTCTACTCCTTTTATGACCTTCACCCCGACTCTTTCCCCTAACCTTAAGGAAGTATCCTGACACCAGCGCTTTCTGAAGGTCTCTGCGATTCTGCTCAGAGCCAAAGGCTGGCTGGGACAAGGGAAGTTCAATTCGTTGCATGAGTTCTAGGAGTTCACCTCGAAGTTTCTGGGCGTGGCACAGTGCTGCCCAGTTGAGCCCCCGGGCCTGGCACCAAGCCTCGTCTGCCCCACCTACAAGAGGAAAGGGCACAGCTCTGGCTGCAAAGAGACCCCCAAGAGAAGCCAGCCCTTGGCCAAAGGGTCTCCTCCTGGGCATAAACATCTACCGGCCGGTTGCACACCACTTCCCCCCTTTGGAAAATACCAGATGCAGAGTGGGCTACTCACTCTGTATAAAGGCTTCATACACCTGGATCAGAGAACTGTGATCACCATCCGTATGTTCCAGGGCCCGACGCAAGGCAGATTCCTCTGCAGAGAGTGGAGGATGGGTGAACCCGGGAGCAGCTGGAGGAGAAGAGAGGAAGGTCGTTCTGGGGAATGAGAAAGGATAGCAGTACAGAAGGAAGGGTGAAAAGGCAGGAAGTGTCACTCTGGGAAGTTTATTCAAAAGACCTTGATAGCTTTCCAGGTGCTTTGCACTTTATTAGACATTGAAGATAAACGAAAGACAGTCTCTGCCCTCAAGTAGCTTAGAGTCTGGTGAGACAGATAAGCAAACTTGATCAGAACAACAGGTGTGTGGACCAATACTGAAGCTTTTTTTTTTTTAAGATTTTATTTATTTATTTGTCAGAGAGAGAGAAAGAGAGAGAACGCAGGGGGAGTGGCAGGCAGAGGGAGAAGCAGGCTCCCCACTGAGCAGGGAGCCCGATGCGGGGCTCGATCCCAGGACTCCAGGATTATGACCTGAGCTGAAGGCAGTTGCTTAACCAACTGAGCCACCCAGGTGCCCCAATATTTGAAGTTTTGTTCGGAATTAGCTCAGTAGAGAGGGGGCAGAGAGAATCTGAACTGTGGGCATGACAAAGCACAGAAATTAGTAGCATGGCCTGTTTGGAGACCTGCATGCACCTAGTAAGGGTCAGGGGAATGGCATGTGTGGCAGAGTGGCAGGAGATAAAGCTGGAGAGGTAGGTGTGGGCCAGGTCATGAGAGGCTGGATGTGCTGTGCCAATGAGTTTACGTTCTGTCCAGAAGACAGAGAATAGCTGTTGAAGAAGAGTTTTGAGGGAAGAGAGTCCAAGTGTTTAAAGAAGTTTATTTGACAAGTTAGGAGGCTAAAGGAATCCATGCTGAGTGGTGGTGAGGATCTAACATTGGCACTGATAGTGAGTATGGAGATAAATAGATGAATTAAAAAAAAAAAACATTTAGGAGATAAAACTGAAAGAACCTGGAGAAAGATTAGTCTAGAATGATGGTAGTGGAGCTGCAGAGATGATGGCATGGTTTTGTGGTGGTGGTGAGGCAAGAGTTTAAGCAAGTGCTTGAGTTCGGATCTGGGCTGGGTACTGTGGCCAATTCTGATAGAAATGTCCATCAGGCATCTGATATATAAATCTAAGATTCAGAAGAATGGTATTGGCAGGGAGATAGAAGGTTTGGAAATTTTAAGTGTAAAGATGGCACTTCAGACTATGGGTGTGCATGAACTTGCTCAGAGAGTTCAAGGAATGAGAAGGCAAAAGGGGGCAAGGATGGAACTCTGAGGTCCAATTTACACTGGATGAGCAGAGGACAAAGAGCCAGGGAAGAGATGAAGGGAATGGCTGAACAGCCAGAGAAGTAGGATGAAAACCTGGAGGAGCAAGTCACAGAGGCTTAGGGGGCGGGCAGTTTCAAGGCAGGAGAGGTTGCATTTTCAAGTGTCAGAATCAGAAGGTCATAAGGAATAAGGACTCAGAAGTATTCAGTGGGTTCAGCCTTGGCAGTAGGAGGGGGGTGGTGGGGGGTGAGGTGGTGGTCACCGCTGAGCTGAGAGATTTGTCAGTGTTGTTGTGGGCCTGAGACTGGGATGCAGTGGGCGGGAACACATCAGGCTGACTGGGGCAGAGGTGATTCTGCATAGCTGCAGGGGAGTAGAGGGTGGATGGAGAGGGGCGTGGAGCTTTAGTAATAACAGGAGAGATCTACACATGTTGGGGACAAGGATCAGCCCTGGGAAAAGGCTA